GGAGACTATTGAAATAAACCTATGTATCTATGGAAATTGAAGCTTTTTGCAACCCACATTCCAGACATCCCTCTAGATCAGTGGTTTTCAACCTTCCTAATGCTGCGACCCTTTAATACAGTTTCTCATGTTGTAGTGACCCCCAATCATTGTTACAAATAAAACATAATTAAAGCATAGTGATTAATCACAAAACAACATGTAATTATGTATGTGTTTTCTGGTGGTCTTAGGTGATCCCTGTGAAAGGGCTGTTCGACCCCAAAGGGGTCGAGACCCACAGGTTGAGAACCACTGATCTAGATGAAGCTGGGGCCAGAGGGAAACCCAGGTCCCAGGTGCCAGAGGGAAGCTTGTGCCAACAGCCAGGGGAAGAAAGGCCTACTCTTGCACGAATTTCATGCATCAGAACTCAAGCCTAATCTAATAAAAGAGAAACATGGTAGTTGGCATATGACTGCTACCCTTCCCATTGGCTAATCAGTGAGATATGCAAATTAACTGCCAGCCAAGATGGCGGCTGGCAGCCAGGCAGCTTGAAACTAACATAAGGCTTGCTTGCTTCAGTGACAGATGACTCCAACGTTCCCCGCCTGCAGCTACAGGCCTCTGAGCAGCAACTCTAAGCAACTATGTAACAAATATAGAAGCTAAACAAACCCCCAGAAACCAGCTTTAGTGCCGGGCTTCAGCAGCAGGATCCCAACATTGTAAGCAAAGGCCAGGAACCTACTGTCAGCAGCGAAGGCTTAAGAGCTGAAGCCAAGCCTCAAAGCTAAACTGGCCCAGGATAAAAAAGAAAAAAAGGAGCGGTTGGGAGCTTCAGTCATCCCAGCCTGAAAACAGCCCTGAGCCCCTCAAGCAGACTGGCCAGGCACCCCAGGGGGGACACCCACCCTGATCCAGGACACCCTTCAGGGCAAACTAGATGGCACGCACCCATGCACCAGACCTCTACCATATATAGTAAAAGGGTAATATGCCACCTCCCAATCTGTTCTTTTCTGTGTATGACAGGGGGTGGCGCCCCAACTCCCCAATTGGCTGTGAGCAAGACCACGGGCTGCACCTAGGGATTAGGCCTGCCCTCTGCCACCTGGGAGCAGGCCTAAGCCGTCAGGTCGTTATCTCCCGAGGGTTCCCAGACTTCGAGAGGGCACAGGCTGGCTGAGGGACCCCCCTCCCCTCAGTGTATAAATTTTTGTGCACCGGGCCTCTAGTCTATAATAATAAAAGATTAATATGCTAATTAGCAGGGCAGCCTAAAGACCTTCTGGAAGAAGTTGAGGCTGAGAGGGCTGAGGTAGCCTCCATGGTTGCAAGGACTGAGTCTCTTGCACATATTTTGTGGATTGGGTCTCTACTAGTTATATGATTCTTGAACTATAACAGTTTTTATATATTAAGTTTTAGAATTACACTTCATCCACATATTTAATTGACTTGCTTTGGTTATAATTATTTAATAGTGTGTACACATTTCCATTTTATTATTGTCGTTCTAAAAAATTTAAATATTTATTATTTATAATAACTATCATACATTTAGGAAGCATCATTTAATTTTTAGTATTTGTTTAACTTATTTTCTAATTTTTACCTTTTAGCTGATCCCGGTGCTGGGAGGCATATTACCCTTTTACTATCTAGGATAGAGGCCTGGTGCATGGGTGGAGCTGGTGGTTTGCCCTGAAGGGTGTCCTGGATCAGGGTGGGGGTGCCCACCGGGGTGCCTGGCCAGCCTGCATGAGGGGCTGAGGGCTTTTTGCAGCTAGTCGCACCCCCTTCAGGGTCGGGTGCCCAGTGGGGTGCCTGGCCAGTCTGGGTGAGGGGCTGAGGGCTGTTTTCAGGATGGCGGGTGATGGAAGCTCCCAACCACTCCTTTTTTCTTTTTTTTAATTCTGGGCCAGCTTTAGCTCTGAGGCTCCAGCTCTTAGGCCTCCACTGCTGAAAGTAGGTATTGGTTTGTTTCAGTTCTATAATCAAAACAATGTATAACTCCAGCTCTGACTCCAGCTCTGAGATCCCAGCTCGCTGAAAACTGGTTTCTGGTTTTTTTTTTAGCTTCTATATTTGTTAAAATGTTTCAAACTGCAGCCTCAGAGGCCTGCAAGGCAGGCAGGGAATGTTGGTTTCCTCCATCACTAAAACAAGCAAGCCTCATGTTAGTTTCAAGTTGCCTGGCTGCTGGCTGCCATCTTGGCTGGCAGTTAATTTGCATATCTCCCTGATTACCCAGTGGGAAGGGTATCAGTCCTATGCCAATTACCATGTTTCTCTTTTATTGGATTAGATATAGATAGCTAAGATATAGAAACAGCCCAAGTATTTACCATTGGATGAGTGGACAATAAAAGCTGTGGTACATTTACTCAAAAGAGGGAATTCTTACATTTTGTGACACCATGATGAACCTTGATATTATTATGCTAAATGAAGTAAGACAGAGAATGACACCATGTCATCTCACTTATTTGTGGAATTTAGTGCACAACATAAGCAGATGAACAAAACAGAACAGAGGCATGGATCCATGAGTCACACTAACAGATGTCAGAGGTTGGGGGAGTAAGGGGACACTGGACAAAGAAAGGTGAAGGCATTGCCTTTGACAACATATATGCATAATGTGTAGACATAGACAATATTATGCTGATGGGCCAAGATAAAGGGGTTGTGGGTGTTGGGTGGAAGTGGGTAAAGAAAGAGAAGTGGAGACATCTGTAATATTAACAATCAAAATTAAGTTTTAAAAATTTTCATATATACCATATTTTTAATCACCTTCTTATTTATTTATTTATTTATTTATTTATTTATTTATTTATTTATTTATTTATTTATTTATTTATTTATTTATTTATTTATTTATTTATTTATTTATTTATTTACTTATTTATTTTTATTGATTAAGGTGTAGTTATCCCTCTATTGCTCCCCCACCCCCCAATCCTGCCACTATACTCACCCTCTGTTGTCTGTGGACATTGGCCAGGGTTATAGGCATGCATACAAGTCTCTTGGTTGATCTCTCCCCCTTATCCTCACCCTCCCCTAACTTCCCTCTGAGATTTCTCTGTCTCTGGATCTTTTTTTTTTTAAATTGGTTTATGTTGTTTGTTATAATCCACAAATGAGTGAGAGCATGTGATATTTATCTTTCTCTGACTGACTTGTTTCACTTAGCATAATGTTCTCTAGCTCCATCAATGCTGTTGTAATGGGTAGAATTTCCTTCCTTTTTACAGCAGCACAGTATTCCATTGTGTAGATGTGCCAAAGTTTTTTAATCCATTCATCTACTGATGGGTTAGGCTGATTCCAAATCTTAGCTATCAAATACACATTTGAAAGTGAAAATATCAGGAAAAATCTCCCACCGGTACAAAAGTAGTGGGGCTGGTACACAGATACACAACCTGTGGCCATACACTGTATAAACAGTGGCTCTCAGTTGGATCGGGGAGCACTTTGCCCTTTAGGGGACATGTGGCAATGTCTGAAGACATTGGTAGTCACCACCGTGAGGGGATATTACTGGCATCTCGTAGGTAGAGACCAACATGCTCTAATACACAGGACAGCCCCCTTGGCCCAAAGAACTAGCTCATCTTTTTAAAATTAATATTAAAATGTTAATAGTGTTGAAGTTGATATACAGCAACGTGTGTGGGAAGGCACTCTGAAATCCAACAGGGGAAACTCTATTTCTTTTTCACAGTGGCCTTGCTCTTCTCCACTCCTTATGGTTCTTTTTAGACGGAGGTATCCCAAGAGTATAACACTCTTGTCCTCTCAACCCCTCACTCATGATTC